AAAGAACTTTTTTTTTTTTAAGAGGGGCTAATTTTTTTTTCTTTTTTTTTTTTTTGGCTTGGTGCTTTTTGCTGCTCGAAGGCAAAACGAAAGGGAAGAAGGGCCCGTGTGCACCCGGCAAGGGGATCCGTCGGCAAAGCCGGGAGCCGGCTCCGCAAGGAGAAATGAGCCGGTGCAGCGCGGGATTAATCCAAGCTGCAGAGCAAATCAGGGGCCTAACTCCCTTCCACGAAGTCGCGTGCCTAAGTTGCCGAGCCTTTTCCGCCAACGCCGCCGTCCGCGGGAGCCCGGCTCTTTGCAAAGACACGCGTCCTCCCCGCCTCCAACACCGGAGGCCAAAGCAAGCGTGGGAAATTTGGGGGTTGTTTTTCCTCTCCCGCTCGTCTCTGAGCCCCGGCTGATCTCCCTGCTACGGCATCGATCGGACAGCGCCGAAAAAAATCAGAAGTGAGGAACGGGTGAAAAAAACCCCAGCTGTTTTAGGAAGATCGGGGAGGGGGTATAAACCGGCCGGCTTCGGGGTGGAAGGCAGAGAAACTCTCTCCGAATATATTATCCCATAATTGTAGGGTTTCAAGCAGTTTCCGCAGAGGCAGCTTGCTGAGGCCAGAGAAGGTTATTTGGCCTAGACGCCTTCCCGGCCGGGTCAACCCGGGAATCCCTAAAACAACCCGCACCTATGAAACACCACGAAAGTGGAATATTTCACTCTCCTTGAGAGCTCTTCCTCCTTTCCCGCCTGCCAATTCCTCCAAAGGAAAAGCCAAAACCATCTATCACATATGCCACCCCCGGTGATATAAGTTTGGGGTGAGCCGCAGCACTTGCACCGGGCAGGTACTTGGTGGCGAAGGTCAAATGAAGCCTGCGGGTAACAGCACCGGCCCCTAGAGCGATGCTCCCTCCCCAAACCATCTCACCAGGCCATGCAACAAAAGAAACACATCCCTGGCACCTATGCACCGGCACCTAAGCAGCCGGCTCTGGCTGCTTTCGGGAGCTGCCCGTAAAAATTCCTGCGAGGTCGGCAGCTAAAGGCAGCCAACGCGCCCGGTGCAGTCGCTGCCTCGCGCTCATCTCCGTGCACCGGTTTTCTGCTTCCTTCCTCGTGCTGCCCCCTTTTCCCCCTGCTCTTGCAACAGAAAAAGCCCCGAACGCGGAATTAAAGTGATTTTTACACCTAGCCTGGGCTGGCAAAGCCGAAGCTCAGGCCACAGCCGTCACCGCTGGGTTAGGATTACACAGCTTAGCTTTGCAGCTGCAGACGCCAGGTCCAAGCCTGGGCTCAGCCGTAGCCGAGTAAATCCCGGAGTTACACGCCAGCACGAGACCGCGATCCGCTGATAACCAGACACGGATTTGAACGAGGAGCACCGATCCAAGACCCCCCTGTTAGTATTGCAGCACAGTAGGATGCCGATACGTCCCCCCCCCCCCAAACCCCGCCCGCCCCCGAGGTTCCCCGGGGCCCCCCCC